TTGGCCCTCTGTATCTGTAGGTTACACATCTGTGGACTCAACCAACTAGGAATCAAAAATATTCAGGAAGGAAAACACAGTAAAAATAGCAGTTCAGCAATAAATGATATGATATAGCTACTTATATAGTATTACATCGTTTTAGGTATTATATGTGCATAGGCTACATGTAAATTACATGCTATTTTATATCAGGGACTTAAGCTCCCTTGGGGGCCCTGGAGCCTCCCTAATCTTAGGGACTGTACACACATATATAGCAACTTTTTTTCTGTTTTAAAATGTGCATAATGAAGAGAATGACCAATTATCTGAGTTAGGTTATAAACGTGAATACCTTTGAAAAGATAAATTTAACAATTTTGGTGAAAATGTATGTTTTTAATGACTATAAAACATTGCTTTAAAGCTGACATTACTTGAATTTTAAAAATCATAAGTTAATTTTGAAATAATGCACTAAAAGTTTCAGGAGGTAACCATGCTGCGTTATTGGGTGGATGTCCAATAATAAATAATGATGCTTAGCATATACTAAACAGTTAATGAATCCTAATAACAACCCTGTAGGTATTATTATTATTTTTATTTTTATGTTTATTTTTTTGAGTTGGAGTCTCACTCTGTCGCCCGGACTGGAGTGCAGTAGCCGCTCCCGGCTACCGCAGCCTCGACCTGCTGGGCTCTGGTGATCCTTCCGCCTCAGCCTTCCGAGTAGCTGGAACTACAGGCGTGCACTACCACGCCTGGCTAATTTTTTGATTTATTGTAGAGATGAGGTCTCGCCTGCCCAAGCAGGTCTCGAACCTGCAGGCTCAGGCAATCCACTCACCTCAGCCTCCCAAAAGCGTGGGATTACAGGCTGATGAAAGCTAGGTAATTTGTTCCTTTAGTTTGTATAGCTAATAGAAGGGTGATGCTTCACATCTAGATCTCACTTCAGAGCTCATGCTCTTAGCTGCTCCATTATAGTCCCCCGACTTTGTGTTAGCTATTTGTGTTGATTTCAAAACTTTAAAACTATAGAATCAGATATAATTTATTTTTCTTTATTTCAATAGCTTTAGGGAGTACAAATAGTTTTTAGTCTAGGGTTTAAGTATACCCACCACCCCCACCTGTGCACATTATGCCTGATAGGTGAGTTTTCATCCCTCCACTTCTTTCCCCCTCCCCTTCTGAGTCTCCGGTGTCCATTATACCATTCCCTAGGTCTTTGCAGATCCTTAGTTTAACTCCCACTTATAAGTAAGAACATGCAGTATTTGGTTTTCTGTAGCATAGTTAGTTTATGTAGGATGATGTTCTTCAATTCCATCCAAGTTGCTGCAAAAGACATTATTTTATTCCTTTTGATAGCTGAATAGTATTCCATAGTGTATATATATCACATTTTCATTGTCCACTAATCAGTTGATGGGCATGTAGTTGATTCCACATCTTTGCAGTTGTGAATTGTGCTGTAATGAGCACATGGGTGCAGGTATCTTTTTTATGTAACAGCGCCTTCCTTTGAGTAGATACCTAGTAGTGGGATTACTGGATCAAATGGTAGATCTGCTTTTAGTTCTTTGAGAAATCTCCATACTGATCTCCATAGAGATTGTACTAATTTACACTTCCACCAACAGTGTATAAGTGTTCCCTTTTCTCCACATCCACCCCAGCAACAATCAGGTATATGTTAAAGGAAATTAGTGATCAGGCTTTAACATCCATCACCAGATTAGTGGTGAAATATATGCAATTAAGATAGTTTGGCAGGGACTTCAAGATATCACTTCTTTCTCTGTTCAGGCAGAACTCTACTTAAATATTCCATAGCAGTTTTCCTCCATAGCAGTTTTCCTTTTCTTTGTAACCTTCTTTGCCATTTATTTCTGGGATTTTATAATTAATATTGTTAGGAAACTATGCAACTTAAATTTCTGTTTGGAGATGGAAAGTGATCATTTTTTATTTAAGCCTTATTATTTTAAAGAGCAGTTTACAGTTGAACTTTTTCAAGAAAGTGCTTAGTTGTCCAAATTTCAAACTTTGAAGGTAAAGTGAGATATTATGGTACAGCCTCTGAAAATGATTGAATCTAGCAAAATATGTTTTTACCATTTTTGATAGGCAATTATGTGGGTGACAGCAGTGAGACTTTTCAGATATTTTTCAAGGGATATTCTTTTAAAAATATTTTTAACCTGGCATTGATTGATGATAAATAAAAAGTTATATATCTTAAAAAATATCAATATTTAAGTATCATTTGGAAAATGTTTTCAGGAATTAGTAGATCATTATATATTTGGTTATTAGAAGCCCAAAATAAGATGTCAACCTAAACATGTAATGAAAAGTCTTCCCTTTAAACAATCAAACAGTTGTAGATATTGGTAATGAAAAAAATATATATTATTAAAGAGATAGATGTTACCAGTTCTATTGCTTTTCCATGGACTTAGGTTGTAATTTTTAGGTTGTTTTTTTTCTTTAACTTTTAGATTGCTATTTACATACTTGTAAAATATTAGCTTAAGTTCTGTACCCTCTTTTCCCATCTGAAATATATTTTTCTTAAACATACAACCAGAGTGGGAGGGCTCCCTTTTAAAGAAATTCTTTGTTGAAATACTTTTTGAAGCGGATGTCATTTTCTGTAATATGAACAATTACTAAAAACTGAGGGTTTCTTAAGGATAGATGAAATTCCTGTTTACTTGTAGCTTATTTTAGGTGCACCCTAATCTTTTTCGTTTTTGGTTTGGATTTCTTCTTCAGTTTTCCCTCAGTAAGCATGACATGACCTTTTTTGTATATGAACCATGAAGAACAACAGTGGAACTAAGAGAAAAATGGCCAGATGGTTAGTCCAAGGTCATTCACCATTTTAATGGAGTAGATCTCATAACTCCTCTGTTTTAATGTCACAGTTGCTGATCTTTTTCCTTAAATTACCGAGCAAAATAATAATTTTAAAGGCAATGCGAACAATTTAAACTTAAGATAAGAAAATGATTGTTCTATTTTAGTACTAGTTCATAAATTGAATGCTTGTAGTGCTAGTGCTAGGAACAAAAATTAGTAAGAAGCTTTCAGAGCGGAAGCTATTAAACAGATCTTACCAAATCTACATTATACCTTTTGTTTGATTTGCTAGAAAATAACATTTAAATTTTATGATTTTAAATAATGTTGCTCTAAGTCCGGCTTTATACCTAACATGTAAGAGACAAAGAGGAGCAAAGGCAGTGTATATCTTCTTCCTTTACCTTTTATCACAAATTGAGGTTTCTTTTTCACCTTCTTCTGCATCTTAGCCAGACAGTTAAAAGTACTACTTGATTTAATTAGTGCTACAGCTGTTAGAAATGTAACTCAATGTACTGTAAGTTTTGGAATGCCAGTATCATGAATTTGGTTGTAATAGAATTTTTATTCTTTAAAAAATTTTTTTAGCCTGCTGATCTCTTGATCTTGGATAGAATTTTTATTCTGAGAGAAAGGTAATCAATTTTTAGTTAAAAATTATTGATAGAATTATGTGTGATGGTACAAGGGAGGGGGAATGTTTTTGTTTTCTTTCTCCTTGTTTCTACTGATTTTTTGCAGGGGGCTAGCATTAAATGATATACTACCCTATTTCTCTGTGCTATCATTTAGTTATTTAGAGGGTCTTTATCTTTTAACTTGGAGTAGTTTAGATGTCTTTAAGTGAATTGATACCTATAAACCCAAGACTGATCTATTAGATAGTTGGGAGTCCTAACTATAGTTGTCATTCTGCTGCCTTAACCAATTTTTAAAAAAAATTTTTACACTGATGGCGGTGGGGAAACACAGAAAACTATTTTTGATATGGCACTGTGCAAATTATCTAAGAAATATTATTTTCTAACTGATGTATAGAAATCATTTGAGAATTTCCATAGTTCATTTAGTATATTTCAGAGCCAGAACTTGTCGATAATGGAGGAAAGATTAGATAGGAAAATGAATGACATACCATAGACAAAAAGAATAAGTGTTAATTAGTATGCTTTCTGATAAATGTCTTTATGTGGATTGCAAGCAAGTAATATCCTACTTTATGAATATCATGATAAAACTTTCCTCAATATTACTTGTTGGTATGTTTTCTTTCTTTTCCCTGCCTTTATCTTTTCAGATTTTATTCAGGTTGAATATCTGTTTTCTCTTCCCTCTGAGATACAAAGTACGAAAGCAAAATAAGGCAAAATTTAAAAAGTCTTAAAATTAAATAAGTACTATTCATATATGAAAGTGACTTTTGTGGCCTTTGAGAGGAGTTTTTAAGAGTGTTATAAGAGTTTTACTTTTTGCTTGATACAGCCTTTAATGTAAAGTATAACTTCTCCTTGTAGAAATAATTTAAAATGAGGTACATTTATGAAGAAATCTATATGTTATTGGTTTATTTTTTATTTTTATTTTTTAAGTCAATTCTCACTCTGTTGCCACTGGAGTGAAGTGACGATATCACAGCTCACTGCAACCTCAACCTCTTGTACTCAAGCGAGCTTTCTGCTTTAGTCTCCTTGATAGCTGGGACTACAGGCATGTGCTACCACACCTGATTGACCTTTTAATTTTTTAAATTTTAAAAAATTTTTGTAGGGAGGTCTTGCTGTGTAGCCTAGGCTGGTCTCGAATTTCTAGGCTCAACCAATCCTCCCACCTTGGCCTCCTAAATTGCTGGGATTACAGGCATGAGCCACCATGCCCAGTTGGTTTTATTTTTGAGTTAGAAAATGGTTTGCTACCATAGGGATCTTTTTTATTAACTGAGGATTAGAATATCTAGTTTTTCAGGTACATTCTAATCTACTGCAAATACTGGTGAAATCTTTAGTCGAAAAAAAACTTCAAGTTTCCAAAGTGCCAATATAGAGAACATTTTTTTCTCTGTTCTTCAGAGAGACTTTGTCTGGATTTACAAAGTTTCTTAACGTGTGTTAAATGTTAATTTTTTCCCTTTTTCTTTTTAACAGGAATCTTTTAGTCCTGCTATACAGCTGCACCTTGTACATCAGTCTCCATGTAATGTTCCTCCTTATCTCTCAAAGAATGAGTCAACTCTTGGGGACCTCTTACTGGGCTTTCTTAAATATTATGCTACAGAATTTGAGTAAGTAACACTTTAAATTGTGTTTATCTATATATAAGTGAATGCTGTGAATTTGGTCAGAAGCTGCATTTGTCAATTGTGCTGTAAACTTGTCTAGAAATTTTAGTTTATGTAACAACTAATTATTGGAAATGAAACAGATTTTATAGTCCTAGCTAATAAAAAATGTGTAGTTCAGTAAGCCCAGTTTCAGTTCATTTAAATAGCGATAGCCCCTGTATGTTGATCCTTTGTAGGTGTTGTGTAGTTTGGAGCGTCTATCTTCTAGGAGCTTAAATGAAAGCAAAAAACATAGCTAAGACAAACTTAGAGGAGATCTATTTTTGTTTGCAGTTGTGTTGCTAGTTGTGTTGCTAGCCCAGTGCCAGAAAATGGATACTTGTAAAATACTTGTTATGAGTATAAAGCAGAAAGTGAGATCATGTACATAATTCAAAGATCCTTAAATGACTTAAAAATTACTGAATTATGCTAAGAAAAGCAGTAGGAAAAGAAGAAGTTCAGTAAGAATGAAATTAAAATAATGAAATTAAAATAGATTAAAAATTACCAGGATATGAAAAAATTACCAGGTAGCAAATATGAAAAGGGAGGAGACTTCAGAGATATAAACACGAAAGGTTAAAGACTGGATAAGACATGGGACATAAACAGACTGTAAAATTTTAATGATTATTCTGTCTCCTTAAGATGTTACAATAGCTAATGCTTAGTGAGTGTTTATCTAGTATCTCATAGTCAGCTGAGTGAGTCCTGTGGGTTTCCTTTAATCCTCACAATAACCTCTGTCAAGTTTAGGGAATTTGTGTACATGAACTTAGCCACAGCGTTCTACAGCTAGAGCGTGGGAGAATTGAGATCCAATTCAGATCTGACTCCAAAACTAAATTCTTAATTATTAGACTGTATTGGCATCTTCTAATGTATTGCATAAATTAGGGATTGGGAAATGTTTGTGGAGGGAGAAAGGGACTCACAGAAGAAAAGATATATTTCTGCTATGTATAGTTTAGGATTAGGGCGTCTAAATATAAATAACTTGAAAATCAACTGTTTTAGCTGGGCATGGTGGCTCACGCTTATAATCCCAGCATTTTGGGGAGGCAGAGGGGAGAGGATTGCCTGAGCTTACAGGTTCGGAATGAACCCGGGCAACTTGGCAAGACCTTGTCTCTACAATAAATAAAAAAATCAGCTGGACATGGTGGCAAATGCCTGTGATTCCATTTGAGGTGGAAGGATCACCTGAGCCCAGTAGATTAAGACTGTGGTGGCCATGAGCGTGCCACTGCACTCCAACTTGGGTGACAGAGTGAAGCTCCAAAAAGAAAAAAAGAAAAGAAAATCAGCTGCTTTGTTCTACTAAAACAAGATAGCAGATGTGCAGGTTTGTGTGTTAGTTTAATATTAATGGGAACCAGTTTGCTGGGTCAAGTGACACTGGCTAGTATGCTGATACTTGGAAAGAGGTTTTGAAACTTCATATTGTACATTTATCATTTCACATGAAAAATTTTCAGAAATTTGACTGTAGGGAGCACAGCCAAGAATGTAGTCATGGTAATGAACTAGGTGCCATGTAAAAGAATTCTGACAGCTGTTAAAAATGTTTGTAAGAATTTCTTCTCTACTTTGAGTATTCAATTTAAAATTCTTTTTACTGAAAGACAATTGAATGCCTGTAAGGGATGCTTAAGTATATGGTACAAATGTTGCAGAAGTTTTATATGGTCATTTAAGAGGTACTGATTATTTTTACCTATTTCACTTACACCTTGCTGCTGAAAATTCTTAAAACAAAGCTAGGCTTTTAGAACTATAATTGAGAACAGGGAACTGACAAAATAGGGGAAAAGGAGCAGGTGACTCAGGGATTCTATTTTAACAAAACAAAAGAAAAATTCAAATTATAAATATCTTACAGACTTATAGAATACTGTAGATTCTTAAAAGAACCTTAAAAGATACCTCTTTCATAATCGCTTTTATTCCCTGGATGCCTAATCACATGTCAGGTGTTAATCTGCCTGTTGAATGAAAAATACCTAAACACATAAATACATCATTCTTTTATTAAAAAGAGAATCGGAGGCCCACATTTTCTATCTCCTTTCTTATTCTGATCCTCTCATCTCATTTATTTTATTTAATCAGTAAATATTCATTGAGTGCCTTATGTACCAAACTGTTTTCTATATACTGAGGGTGCAACAGTTAACAAAACAGGCAAATACTTCTGCCCTTACGGAGCTTACATTGTAGTAAGGAGAGATAGACAGTAAATGTGTAGTGGGTTAGACAATAGTAAATGGAGAAAAAATAAAGCAAAAGAGGCTCTGGTATATGTAGCTGTTGCGATTTTAATACCTGCATTGCAATTTAATACCTAGCATGGTAAGGGAAAGTCTCACTGAAAAGGTGACCTTTGAATAAAGACCTGATGGAGAAGAAGGTGTGGATTGTGTGACTGTTTGGGAGAAGAACTTTCTGGACAGAAGGGAAAGCAAGTGGCCCTGAGATAGGGTTTGCCCAATGTGTTCAAAGAACAGTAAAGAAGTAAGTGTGACTAAAAGGAAATAGAAGGAAATGATGTCAGAGAGTTAAGGAAGTACAATCATGTAGGGTCTTGCAGTGGATTTTCATGATGTTGGCTTTTCCTCTGGGTGATACGGGATACCACTGGAGAAGTTTCAGTAGGGAAGTGATGTAATCTGATTTCGGTTGTAATAGGTTCATTTAGGCTGCTGGATAAGAATAGACTGAAGGTAGTCAGGGTAAATAAGGGAACAACTTGAAGAATATTGCAATAGTGTAAGAGAGGTGATGTGGCCTGGGTGAAAATGGTTGCAGTGGAAGTGGATGAAAAGTGATCAGATTCCATTTATATTTTGATTTGCAACAGATGAGATGTGGAGTAAGAGAGAAAAGAGTTGAGGATGACTTTTAAGTTTTTTACTTGAGTAATAGAAAGGATGAAATTATTCCTAGGTGTGATGGAGAAGACAAGAGAGGAGTGTTGTTTATTTTGAACATCTCGAGATTGAGATACTTTCAAGATATTCAAGTGGTGACATTGAGTAGACAGTTGGATATACAAGCCTAGAGTTCAGGAAAGAGATCACAGAGCTATATATTTGGGACTTGTAGCAGAAAGATGGTATTTAAAGCTATGAAATTGAGAAAATTAAGGGAGAGATGAATATGTATATAGAAAATGGGTCCAAAGTTTACAACATGGATACTCCAGTGTTAAGTTTTCAAGAAATACAGAGGATAAAGGAATATATATTGTTAAATGACAAAATGAAGAGAGACAGAAAAATCCAGAATGTAGGCATTCTGTGAAACAGCTGGCCTTGTCTCTTCAAAAATCAGTATAATAATAATAAAAAAAAAAGTGGAGAGAATTTTTCTTAAAGTGACAGCACAATCAAATGCAAAGCATGAATCTCGACTGTAATCTGGATGGGATGGGAGACTATAAAAGGCATCTGAGTTACTGCCAATTTCCTGGATGCTGTTACTATTATAAAGGAGGATGGCCAGAAGATGCAGAAGTCAAGTTTCATCATGTGTAAAGGTTCCAAGTGGTTCAAAACACATACGAACACAAGACATACACACAAGCAAATGTGGCAGAATGTTAACACTTCTTGAATTCTCTTTCAATTTTATACTTTTTGTTTTTTCTGTATTTGAAAGTTTTCATAATACTAAGATGCTTTAAAAAAGAAGGAATTAATATATGAGTGTAGGTAGAAAGAATCATTGAAATAGGTGGAAATTCAGTAGGATGTGGTGTCTTGGAATCCAAAGGTGGGGGAAAAGTGTTTTGAGGAGGGAGGAGGTATTATCTGTGTCATTATTTTTTGATGGATCAAATAAGATGAGAACTAAAAGCTGACCACTGGATTTAGCTGGAGGCCACTGGAGCCTTGACAGGAACAGTTTCTATGGAATAATGGGAAGTAAAAGGCATCAAGAGAAGACAGAGGAAATTAGATATGGATAGTGTAACTCATTTTTTAGAGATGTTTACATATTAGTAGAAGGGAAAAGAAAAATCAAAGTAGAAATTGGAGGGTTTAGTGGGGTTGAGTTTTTGTTTTTATTTTTACAGAGGAGAAATAAAACCCATATTGATGGCAAAATTGATGATACCAGAGAAAGTAAATTGTTGGGACAGTATACTTGTGTGAGTCAAGAATGGTTGGAATCTAGAGCACAAGTAGAATAGAATCGCAGATAATTCATTGATAGTGAGAAAAAGCGGAATATACAGACACCGATAAACATAGGGTAATCAGTGTAGTGGGGGCCAGTGGAGATTATCTTTGGGTTACTTTAGGTTTCTTAGTGAAATAAAATCATGAACATCAGCTGGGAATGAGTATGAAGGGAGAAATTTGAGAAGTGAGAAGTAGGTATGAATTTTATGTACTAAAGTCAAGGAGTAAATTAACTACAGGATATAGCATAATTGATGGGTAGTAGCCTTCAGGGTCCTTTTGAGCCAAGTGATCATGAATTTCAAGTGTGACCAGTCAGCATGGTTGTGACTCCACACATGTTCAGTTCTGGAAGAGAATTGGAGATTTTTTCAGAGTTTGTGTTTCAACCAAGAAATTTAGTGCAGCAAGAGGGGGTAACAGAAATAAAAGTATATGCAAGGGAGTAATTTTAATACGTGACCATGGACACTCTTGAAAATATGGGCACAGGGATGCCTTATGACATTCAGGTGACAGTTTACAGTTTGTAAATATTGGCCTGAAGCTTAATAGAAAGTTCAGAGCTGGAGAAAGGATTTGGGAAAGAAACATCAGACTGGAAGCCTGGAGTGGGTGCTCTAGCTTTGCAAGAAGCTTCAAAGAGGTGAGGCCTGATGAATACCAACATTTAAAGGGTCAGGAAGAAGATGAGGAATCAGTCAAACTGAAACAACTTTAGGATTCGAGTAAAATTTTTTTCTCTGCTTAAGACATTTGAAATCCCATGGTGGTTTTTCTTCTTTGAAAAACTTGCCCATGGCAGGTCTTTCTGCCATGAATCTTAATTTTTGTCTTCTTTCTCTAATTAATTTTGTTTGAAAACTTAAAAAAAAGAGGCGTTTGAAATCCCTAACAAAGTTTTCTTTCTGTTTGCTTTTCGGCCGTACTATAAACATTTGCTCATTTAATTTGACTAGTCTTAATATAAAACCAGCCATATGGTATCAGGCTCATAATTTTGCTTTTGTTAGACTTAAATTTTCTTTATGTTGCCGAGGAACACACTTCCAATTTAATCATTTATCTCAAAATGCTTTCTGTTGGTCACAAAACGAATAGCTAGAAGAGAGTTAATTGATCAGTACCAGTCTATTATCATTACTAAAGAGAAGATGCAAGGACTTCACTAATATAATTAGTGATCTCAGTTTTATATCCAAAAGATTGTCATATATTATCAAATCTGTTAGGTTAAATTAAGCTCATATCTTTTTCTTCTGAAACATCTCTTTTCTGTAGACTCTATTTTACTTTACACTTTAGTTATTGAGTGATGGTAATATTGTTACATGGCCAGAAAATTATGGTCAAGAATAGAATGATAAGGTTTATGAGCTGTGAATTTTAAAAATAAAATATTTAGGGAAGGTATTTTGAAATTATCATTTAAATTCTACATTTAAATTCACCTTTAAGAGTAAAAAGATTATATAAGTTATATCATGTTTTATTTGAAATAGCTAATAATTTAGAAATATTTAAAAGTTCTTTGAAAATGCAGTAGATCGCATCAGTCTAAATGGAAGTGGTTCAGAATGTTCTTTTTTTTCTCTTTGAAATACTTCCAATGATATAGTCGTTTTAAATAACTGTGCTACTTTGATTGTAGGTTGAAGTGTCAGTGATATCTGGCTAGGTGTGATTGATAAAATGCAGATATCTGTATGTTACTATTTCTATGACCCAGTGTAGAACCAAGTAGTTCCTTGTAATGTTAATTCAAGATTAGTTTTTAAAAGAAATATAGTGGTGAAGAAAGAGTTCCTTTACTAAGAAAATAAAAGTTAGCCGGGCTCGGTGGCTCAGCCTGTAATCCCAACACTTTGGGAGGCCGAGGTGAGTGGATTGCCTGAGCCCGCGGGTTCGAGACCTGCCTGGGCAACTTGGCGAGACCTCATCTCTACAATAAATCAAAGATTAGCCGGGTGTGGTAGCGCGCGCCTATAGTTCCAGCTACTTGGAAGGCTGAGGCGGAAGGATCGCCGGAGCCCAGCAGGTTGAGGCTGCGGTGGCCGGGAGTGGCGCGGCCACTGCACTCCAGTCTGGGTGACAGAGTGAGACTGCAACTCAAAAAACAAACAAACAAGCAAACAAACAAAAAAATAAAATAAAACAAAAGTTGTAATTTAACAGCAGGTTATAGTACTTCAAATTTCTAAACATTTCTGAAAGAAAAATATCAATTTATGTCTTTTAAAAATAATGTTTACAATTTTTATTCTCCAGATTCAGTTGTCCTGTCAGCTACATTAGACAAATAGTCTCAGGGAAAGAGTTAATTTTATTACTAAAAATGTGACTTTACTGGCATAAAGTACAGTAATGCAAAGTATATTTCTGAAACCTTGTTTGGTTCAGGTATGTAGTTTATATAATTATCCTCTTTATGTTGTTGTTAAGAGAAGTTTGGAAACATTTGGAATACCACAGCACCTCTCTTTGGAGACTGTAATAATAGAACTATGATCTATGAGGGATCTAAACATTTTACTGTAGCGAACATTAAGTATTTCCATTTGACAACCACTTATTTTTAAAAAGCATAAATTCTGATATGTATTTTAAAAGAACATAAAACTATATAACGTATTTACAAACTACTCTTGACCAGAACAAAAATAAAAAAATTATGCTTTCAGGATACTTTATGATGATCAAACTTCACAAGATGCAAGATTTTTTTGCCTTATTTAATATAATCAAATTTCTAGAAACAAGCGCCATACTGGACCCATGATTATATTCTTATTCATTCTCTATATGATAAGTAGAAGAAGTGTAGGTTGAGGGTTGGAGTTGGAAGGGCTTGTAATCTTTTTTTTTTGAGTTGGAATCTCACTCTGTCGCCCAAATTGGAGTGCAGTGACCACTCGGGCCACTGCAGCCTTGACCTGCTGGGCTCCAGCGATCCTTCCACCTAGCTTTCCACGTAGCTGGAACTACAGGCGTGCGCTACCATGCCCGGCTAATTTTTTGATTTATTGTAGAGTTGAGGTGTCGTCTGCCCAGGTGGGTCTCGAACCCGTGGGTTCAGGCAATCCATTCACCTCAGCCTCCCAAAGGCGTGGTATTACAGGCTGAGCCACTGAGCCCGGCGGGCCTGTCATCTTTATCTGCTTGCTAAATTGGTAGAAAAAGCTAAGTACTACTGGAAAAATAGATATCGGCTATTCCTTAGATTTACTTTTGTCTTGTATACAAGCTGGGTAGTCACATGTTTTAGAATGTTTCTTGGAAAAAAGAAAATACTTGCAATAACTGTTAGAAATGTAAAGAAGACTGGGTGGCTGGAGCAGGAAGATTACTTGAGTCCAGGAGTTTGAGATCAGCCTGGACAACATAAAGAGACTTTGCCTGTCCAAAAAATAAATAATAATATTTTAAAAATTAACTGAGTATGATGGTCTGCGCCTATACTCTTAGCTTCTTGGGAGGCTGAGGTGAAGTGGGAGGATTGCTTGAGCCCAGGAGTTCTTTTTTTTTTTCTTCTTGAGTTGGAGTCTTACTCTGTCGCCCAGACTGGAGTGCGGTGGCCACTCCCGGCCACCACAGCCTCGACCTGCTGGGCTCCGGCGATCCTTCCGCCTCAGCCTTCCAAGTAGCCGGAATTACAGGCGTGCGCTACCATGCCTGGCTGATTTTTTGATTTATTGTAGAAATGAGGGTCTCGCTGCCCAGGCGGGTCTCAAACCCGCGGGCTCAGGCAATCCACTCACCTCAGCCTCCCAAAGGCTCGGGATTACAGGCTGAGCCACCAAGCCCGGCGAGCCCAGGAGTTCAAGGTTGCAGTGAGCTAACATTGTGCCACTGCACTCCAACCTGGGTGACAGAACGAGACCCTGTCACTGAAAAAGAAAAAAGGAAATGTAAAGAAATTAAAAAAAATAAAACTTTAAAAATAAAATGTGAAGTTAATATATATTGAAGACTGGATAGTTAGCCTTCAAATCTGATGGTGAAATTGTTTAACTGAATAAAATTTCACTGTTAACAGCTGTATCTGATATACAATAGTAGCAATAGGTTTTCATAGAGTATTTTGTTTTCCTAAAATAGTGTCTACTTGGTTCTGTTAGAAAATTTCAAACTTTCTTTTGAATGATACAAATAAAGATGTACCTGAACAAAAATTATTTAATGATACCAGAAAACAATACAAGAAGATTACTTCTCTTTAATAAATAAAAAATTCTTTCTGGTATTTTAACAATGAGCATAGCTGTTATGTTTTTGTTTGTTTACTTGTACTTTCTTATTTTCTGTATTACTTTATTTATTCAGTATGTTCCTATTGAATGCCTGGTATGTACTAAGTAACTAGGTGAACAGTGAAAAAAATAGATAGAATATTTAGTGTCTCGGAGCTTTCATTCTTCTTAGGAAGACATAATAAGTAATAATATAATACATATTAAGTGTAACAAACAGATTGTTAGAAGATGACAAGTACAACAGAGAAAAAAATAGACAAGTAAAATATGGGGATTATGGTGCTGAAGGTTGAGGCAGGTTTTAGCATTTCAATAAGAAAATCAGGAGATGCTTTACTACTGATAAAATAAAAATAATGAGGGGAAATTATGAAATAGTTAACATGGTTAATGTTTTTCTTCTTATAGCTGGAATAGTCAAATGATTTCAGTTCGTGAAGCCAAAGCCATTCCAAGGCCTGACGGTATTGAATGGAGAAACAAATACATCTGTGTGGAAGGTAGTTTTCCCGTGACTGCTATCTATTTACCATGCAGCTATGATCGTGGTACTGGGAGAATTACTTGAGTAATTTCAGCTTGTATTTCAGTTACAAATAATACATTTATGTTCTGAAGTGATTAACAAGTCTTTTAGTAAGATTTGAGCATTATTTTTATATCCCTCATACTTGTGGTTGATTAAAACTTAATTTCATGACTTATAAATGGAAGAAAATAGCTGGGCACAGTGGCTCATGCCTGTAATCCCAGCACTTTGGGAACGGATTGTCTGAGTCCAGGGGCTTGAGACCAGCCTGGGCAACATGACGAGATCTATAATAAATTAAAAAAAAAATTAGCTGAACATGGTGGCACAAACCTGTAGCTCCACCTAGTTGGAAGGCTGAGACAGACGGATCACCTGAGCCTAGCAGGTCGAGGCTATGGTGGCCGTGAGTGTGCCACTGCACTCAGGGCTGGGCATCAGAGTGAGACTCTGACTCAAAAAAAAAAAAAAACAAAAAACCCCAAAGAAAATATGGTCTTTCTATGATGATTCTTATATCGAAATAAAGTGAGTTTTTAAAATATTCTTTTACACTTAAAATATTATTTATTATTACTTAATGCAAGCTGGATTTTTATGAATAGAACTTGTTTTACATTAAAAATTAAGTGATCTGGCTGAGCAGAGTGGCTCACACTTGTAATCCCAACACTTTGGAAGGCCAGGGTGACCTCTTGAGGCTAGGAGTTCAGGACCAGCCTGGTCCACAAAAGAAAGAAAGGCATCAACTTAACTGGGCATGGTGGCACGAGTCCGTGATCCCAGCTACTTGGGAAGCTGAGGAAGGAGGATTGCTTGAGCCCAGGAGTTGGAGGCTGCAGTGAGCTATGTTTGTACAACTGTACTTCAGCCTGGGCAACAGAGTGAGACCTTGTCTCTAAAAAGTGAAATAAAATAAAAATTAAATGATAAGATATTTCCTTCTTTAAAATTAATTTACATGTAGTTGAATACATCTTTCAGACGTTTTATTTGAGTCAGTGGGAAACTGACTTCAAGAGGTAAAAGTGTTCTCATAGATGCCAAATTAAAGATCTTTGTCAATCTTGTAAAAAAGAATAGAGAATCAGCATTTGTAGAAAACATCAGATTTAGGATATGTTAATCTTGGATTATATGCAACATCTTAAGAGCTTGTGAATATGAAATTAAGTCTCTTACTTTGGTGTTTTGTTTGCTACTACATTGCAGTGACTGTATATTATTTTAATTACTTGTACCCTTATAAATGATTACAAAGTGCTTTGATAACATGATCTGATACATTTGAGTATATGACCTTACTCCATCAAGGAAAAAACCAGAGAAGTGTGTCAGTAAAGTCCTTTTAAAAAATAGTATTTCTAAGCAATACAAATAAGCAAGCAAAAGAAGTTTTAAAAATTTATGCTCCTGCTTAGATTATATGATATCTAAAGGTCACCTCTTCATCAGGTCTCCTTCTCTTTCATACTTTTGGTTACCTTTTCTCTTTCCTTCAACATTGCTCTTTTTCTCTTCAGTCCATCCCTTCAAGGCATACAAAAGTCTCTTATCCTTGAAAAATACTCATTTGATCCCACTGGCTCTTCTAAGTTTTTTTTACCTCCCTTTTTCAGCTGGTCATGGTGCCAAAATTCTTACTCTCTAGTAATTTTTCTCTGTTGTTGGCATTGTTTTAGTCATCCCATCTTATTCCTAATGCCTTTAGTTGTCCTCTTTTCATTCTGTCCTCAGTTTCATTGTTTTCTTCTGGTTTCTTCCTTTCTTTCTCTATATATGGACTCGTCTGTCTTGTGAAAAGTGGGTGGAATGGGGGTGTGGACATAGATGGTAGATATGTTAGAGACACACACACATAAGAACTCTTCTTTGTTTTATTCCCATCTCCTCTGTTTGCTCTTCTGTTTTTCTCTCTTCTTTCTCTGAAGATTGCTCATTCAAGTACTGTTCCCACTGTATCTTTTTCTAAACCATCTGCTTTCCATAACTCCCTGAACTGTCTTCCATTTTATCCAGTATTGAACCTCTACTTTGAAAGGTTTCTCCTATTGGACACATCAACTTTTCAATTAAAATTAAATTTAAAATTATCTTTCTGTGATATTTGACATTGACTACCTCTCTTGGATATAATACTTTATTCCTTTTGATAACTTTTTATTCTTTAACTTACTTTTATTTCCTTAAGGTGAGTCCTTGACCTGCTGTAATTTAAAAAAAATCTTACTCACTTTTATGATTTAGATTTTACATACCTATGCTGCTGACTTTTATTTTTAGTCATCCTCTCCCTTGAATTCTATTTACCTTATTAGATAGTTCATAGCTATATTAAGCTTTTCTATGTACACAAATCTAGTAAAAGATATTAGGCTGAAACATATGAAACTATTTTTTGTGATAGTTCAAAAACTATCACATATGGGCAAATTTATATAGTTGAACTTAATAAAAGAAGCAAAGCCTCTCATTTTAAGACTTTTTCTTTGACTGAGCATGGTGGCTCATGTCTGTAATCCCAGTACTTTCCGAGGCCAAGGAGGAAAGATTGCTTGAGTCCAGGAGTTTGAGACCAGGCTAGGCAACATAGTGAGCCTTGTCAATGCAAAAAAATTAAACAATTTGCTGAGCTTGATAGTTCGTGTCTGTGGTCCCAGCTACTCAGGAGACTGAGGCAAGAGGATCTCTTGAGCCCAGGAATTGGAGGCTGTGGTGAGCCATGGTCATACCACTGCACTCCAGCCTGGGTAACAGAGTGAGACCTCAACTTACAAACTTTTTCTTTACATGTGCATTTAACATTGCAGAACCTTTTGATGGAACGAATACCGCCAGGGCTGTGCATGAAAAGCAGAAGTTTGACATGATCAAGGATCAGTTTTTAAAGGTAAATAATGCCTTAGATTAACTCTAGAAACATTAGTAGACTAAAGTGCTTTAAGAATTAAAAAATATATGTGATAGGACAGAATAGTCCTGGTTTTCTATGTTGTGAAACCAGTGTAGCACAATAGGGAATGTATTACCTGAATTTAGATAGACTTTTCTTTCAGAGGTCTAGCTCTGCCTTTATCTACATTGCTTTCACTTTTGTGGAAATAAGCATCTTCATAGTGTGCTTTTGAAACTCCCAAAATAAATGAATAAGACCTAACGGACACCTTAACATGTTGGGGAATTTTTTGTAGCCATAGAAGGAGGCTGATGTCTAAGTCATGCTTTTTCTTCTGTATCCCCACTGTCACAGGAGTTAGAGTGTCGTTTTTCTCTTTGTTTATATTTTGAAAATCTTTAAAGGGCATGGATTGTGTATGTCTGTGGTATGAATCTATTCATCAGTGATTTCCCTAGCTGTGATTCCTATCTGCAAGGAAATTGGTGAAATTATGAATACAGTGTAGAAATGCATTGACAAAACAGGTACTATGAGACATATAGGAGGGAAAGCTTCATAAAAGAAAAAACCTAGAGAACTGTCTTTTTACAGACTTTTAAAAAATCATCTAGATATACAAGTGGGCTTTATTTTAATGATAATTTAAAATGCAAGTATTGGCCTGTAATCCCAGCACTTTGAGAGGCCGAGGTGAGTGGATTCCCTGAGCCCGCGGGTTCGAGACCTGCCTGGGCAACTTGGTGAGACCTCATCTCTACAATAAATCAAAAAAATCAGCCGGGCGTGGTAGCGCGCACCTGTAATTCCGGCTACTCGGAAGGCTGAGGCAGAAGGATTGCCGGAGCCCAGCAGGTTGAGGCTGCGGTGGCTGGGAGCGGCCACTGCACTCCAGTGTGGGTGACAGAGTGAGACTCCAACTCAAAAAATAAATAAATATATAAGTAAAATAAAATGCAAGTATTGAGGCAGGTGTATTGCTTGAGCCCAGGAGATCAAGGCTGCAGTGATCAAGCCACTGCACTCCAGAAAGAGTGACAGAGCAAGACCGTCCCTGTTTCTAAAAAATAAAATAAAATGCAAGTATCATTTTACAAGCTATCCTTCAGATTAACTTGTCAACCAGAATAGAAACTTTGTCCTGAAGAATTTCTCTCATTTTAAAACAAATATCCAAGAAGGAATATTTTAATCTCTCAGATTAAATTGAGAACTCAGAAATAGCCTTGCTCCATTGCTGTTCTTGTTGGTGGGTATGCTTTCATTCAGCTGTAAAACCAGTCCTTCAGTCAGTTGAATAACTGAAGTGAAATAGCATACAAAAATCTGCAGCCTCCAAGTAGTGAGCCAGAATTTTAGCTTGTGAACAAGAATTTCTTTTTCTTTTTCTTGTAAGTTCTATTTACTGGTTCTTTCCCAGAGACATACATGAAATGCCTTATTATAGATTTACTCTCTCTCCTTCATAAATACTATTTTAATGGAAAAAACTAGTAAAGATGCAAGAAAATCAAATGATTGAAGTAATCCTCCCATATCTTTTCAGATCCAAAGGTTTTAATTACCTTACTGTTTTAGATAAAATTACTTAATCTATGAATAAATGTTAATATTGTCAGTTGTATCTTTTTGTAGCACCCACGTGCCCATTTCTTTATTAATGAACTAGAACCACACAGATAGAGCTTTTAAATAACATTTCTTTTCTGAAGACCAAAACAATGCTTATACTGTGTTAAAAATTTGGGAAATAAAAACTCGAAGAAAAAAAACTATCCAAAATTTTCTCACCTAGCGAGAACTACTGTTAACAATCTTTAAAACTCTGTTTTTTGTTCTGCATGTATGTTAGGTCTCAAGAATGATTTTTCTTTCTCTTCCCAGTCATGGCACAAGTTGAAAAACAAAAGAGATTTGAACAGCATACTACCTTTAAGAACTGCTGTCCTGAAAAGATAACTGGTCTCTGTAAATTCTTCCAAGAAATAAAGAATAATAGTAACATCATAATGTATTTTGTTTATCTCCATCATGGTTTCTTTTTCATTGTTCTTGTTTTTGTGTTTTATTTTTAAAAAGACATATATAGATTGCATATTTTATTATGACATTTCCTAATAAAACCCTTTGATTTAAAAATGTATTTTTGAAAATGTTTACTTTGATGATTAGTAATATTATGGCATGAATTTTTGGGAGATCAGATAAAATATATTTTGGGAAATTACCTGAACAATAAAAAGTTTTGATATAACTTCAGCTAATTGTACCACATGCTAATACTGAAGAGATGTGTGGAATGTTTGGAATTTTGGACTTTAATTCATATTTGCTTAAAGTAGATAGTTTGTTGTCTAAGTCTGTTCTAGTAAAGTGAAGATTCAAGTCAGTTACTCATTTACTTGAAGCCAAATGAAAGCTTTTATTTCAGTGAAATCACTGCAGTCATGAAATAACTGAGCAATTGTATTAAGTCTTCACTTGACTCACTAGGGCAGACTGAGGTGTGTGTCTGTATTAGCATTTCATTAGTACTTCACATGCTTTTGAGGTACTCATGAGATTGCTTTAAATTTTATATTGAGACGACAATACATTTTTTACTGTTGTAGGATGAACACTAATTTTTACAACAGTTATTGAATTGTTTCAAGATTCAGTTCTGTGTAGACAATTTGAAAAGTTAAGTCTCCTGTGCTTTCTGATAGCTTGGTGCAATATGCACTTTTGCTTTTCTTTCCCATTTTCCTGCTCTGTTTTCCCTGTGACACAAAGCAACAGAAACTGAGAAATCAGTTAAGATTATATATCCTGTTTGTAGTATCAGATTTTTTTTCTGTGTACAATGAACAATGATGGGATTGTAATCTAAATTGGAATTTTTAGACAGTAAGCCACTACTAAATGTTTTAGATAAGACACAATAAAATTGTTATAAATAAAAACTTAATGTTTGTAAAAGTACCTTTTTTACCATTTCTTTTCCACATGAAAGGACTAGTAGTGACTGCTGAAAAAGCTAGTGTTTATTAAGGTTGTTTCTGACTTATGTAAATATTTGTAAATTGGTCAGTGCCTGTAAATTTACATATAAAAAGTAATCTTGAAAACAGTTTTAACTTTTTCAAAAGGACTGTGTCCAACTTCTTTTAGACCTGCTGTAGTACAGTTTGTATCTCTAATGGTTTTTTGGGGTTTCTTTTTTGCAGACCAATTCAGATGGTAACACTTTGCTTTACTTTGATTTGTAAAAGATGCACATTTTCATTTTCTTCTTTAAGTTTAAATTTTCGTATGATGTCAAATGGAATAAAGTTTATATATGGAAATTGTTGGAGTATTTTTTTATGTAAATTTTTGTTTTTGAGATGAGATTGAAGCTGTAGTTATCCTCTACAACTGAATTAGAACTGCTTCTTATGCTTGATTATTTTGATAATACAGAGAATCTTGGAATCACATTCTCTTGAGGTGAATCCACCTGACTACATCAGTACCTTATTTCTCTGGTATTACGAGAAATGAAGCTTTCCATATAGGTGAATATTTTAGATTACTCTTGTAACACTTGATGCAATTGAACTTTTTATTTCCTTTTTCTGGAAATTTTCCTAAAATTTGTTATACACTGTGCAACCCATCTTTACCAGAACGTATTGAGTAGAGTTAATAGTCTAGTGATGACTGTGGGTAATCATTACAGACATTAGTCATAGCACAATTCAGCAACACTGTGCAGTTCTCAGTGTTGGGGTGATGTGTAAGTCCTCTACAATGCTATGCCATTTCCTAATAAAGCCCAGGATGTGCCGTGGTATGGATTCTTTCACTGCCACTGTTTCTCAGCTTTCAATGACCCCACTCATAGTACTGCTTCTTTTCACCTGTTTTACTGTAACCAATGGATCAAGAAGTCACTAGACTTCTACTCACTTCTAAATCAGTAGACTGAAGCCTATTAAAAGTATTCACCTGTGACAGGCAAAATATGTTACATAAATGGCTATTAATCTGAGATAATTTTTTAGACTTTTAAGTTATTAATATGTCAGTCTTAATTATTTGTGTGATGAGTACTAAATTCTTTTCTGTTTGTGTTGGTCTGTCCATTTCTATACAGTCATCCTCTGTATACATAAGAGATTGGTTCTAGGACACCCCCACCCCTACCACCTGCAGATACCATAATTTATGGATGCTCAAGGCCCTGATATAAAATGGGGTAGTATTTGCATATAGCCTGTGCACCTCCTCCTGTATACTTTACATCATCTTTAGGTTACTTATAATACCTAATGCAATGTAGATACTATGTAAATAATTGTTATGCTGTGTTGTGTAGGGATTAACAATGACAAGGGAAAAAAAGTCTATACATGTTCAGTGCAGATGCAACAATCCTTCCCACCACCACATCACCAAATATTTCCCATCATTGGTTTGTCTAATCCATGGATACAGAGGGCTGACTATATTTGCATATGTTCTTGCTCAAGGTGCAGTGTTAAAAATGTGCAATCTATACTGCAGTTGTACATTTTGGATTGACTTGAACTAGGATCTTTGCAAGTAAGTCTTGTAGACTGTTAGGTCAGAACCGCTGGGGATGTGGGTGTCTGGTGTGATCCGGTGCCACATGAAAGATGCAAAGAATTGCACAGAAGGTAGACTAGAATATATAGTTTATTTAGAAAGTACATTAGAGAGAGAGAGAGAGAATGAGAGAAAAAGTATTCACCTCTAAGGTAGGAGAGGGGGCTGGAGCTCAAAGAGCACATGGCCACACCGGAGTCTGGTAAGGCAGCGGCAAATGGCTGTTCAAGGTTGAACGCTTTTAATCCTTCCCTTTGATGGGGGAAGGTTGTTAAGGTGATTGGGTGGTGATTGGCTCCATGTCATCACCAAGGGACAAGTAAGTGCAGTTACTGACATCAGGTGATGGACAGCAGGCAGATGGGTGGTGGGTGGGTTAGTCACATGATTGCTACCATAGTAGAGGGGTCTTTCAGGAAGGGCTGTTAGGTTAACCTGGATCTTATGGGTGGAGGGAGACAAATACTTGAAATAGAGAAGCTAATTAGTAACAAGCCTGGGAAGGGGTTGTAAAGCAAGTATCAATAGCTAACTCTGAGAAACCAGTTCTGTCCTTGGCTAGTGATTAGAGGGTAAAGTGAACTGCTAGAAGAACAAGAGATTTAGGCAATGCTAAAATGGCTGCTCATATTAAGTCCATGATACATCCTTTTGTGTTTCTAAGATATTTGGGGTTAAATGGAAGGAGCATAAACTGGGCACGGTGGCTCATGCCTGTAATCCCATCACTTTGGGAGGCAGAGGTGAGAGGATTGTCTGAGCCTACAGGTTTGAGACCAGCCTGGGCAACTTGGCGAAACCTTGTCCCTACAATAAATGAAAATATTAGCCAGGCATGGTGGTGTGCTCCTGTGGGTCCAGCTACTTGGAAGGCTGAGGTGAGGTGGAATGATCGCCTGAAACCATCAGATGGAGGCTGTGGTGGCCATGAGCGAGCCACCGCTCTCCAGCCTGGGTGACAATGAACCTTGGACTCAAAAAAAAGCATAGAGTGGCAACCTGCAGTTTTGATTAGTGTTTAACAGATTCTCCTACCTGTGATTGAATTCTTTTTGTCCTAGGTGCACATGGTCACTGGGATTATTAATGGAAAAGTCTAGCTGGTGTTAAGAGAATATGCTGTTAAACCTGGTTTAGTAACCCTGGGGGACTGGAGTCTGCTGGCTTCGCTTCTTGTGCCCCACTAGCTGACTGTACTGTACCGTATCTGAACTGTACTTAAAAAGTCTACTGAGGAAAAAGGGATGCATAATTGGAAGGTAGGATGATGAGGGAACCTGGAAGGGGGTACTGAGTTTAACCAGGGGATTTTGGAGAAAGGTGGCAATCTTGAATGATGGGTATCCTAGTAAACAGAGACGGAAAAAACTGAATTGTGCAAAAACACAGTGGAGTGACTTGGTATATATAATGTTGGGAATTCCTGACTCCTGGAAGCCAGACAATTAAAATGTGGCCTGCTAGGAAACGTTTATCTTCCCAAGGATGTTGGGTTTCAACCCTTGTACGGAGGGAAGCCATGGTGAAATCGGTTTTTTTTTCCCAGATGGGACCTGGTGGCGAAGTAGTTTTAAGCACCGGCGGCCGGGGTCTGAGGGAAGGCCTGCGTGGGGCCTTTGGGCAAGTTTCAGACAAGACTTAGAGTGGAGACGAGCGGAGCTTCCTAGCTGGGCAATTGGCCGCTGAGAAGAGAACACACAATTGAATTTACTTGCACATACAAAGAGCCGGTGCTGAACAGTGGCTGGAAGCTGGGCTTTGAGGAGAGCGGGCCTAGCTCTGTTTCCCTTCGCGTGGCTTCACTGGCGGCGGACCCTGAGCAAGCTACCCAGCCTTTCCGAGCCTGCCTCCTGATCTAGGAAGCGGCCCTCAGTACAGAACCTGCGGGGGCCGCTGCAACGTCGAGGTCTTGGGAGGCCTCGGCGGAGGCCGGGCTGGTGCGGCCTCTGCTCAGGGCGTAGCCCAGCTCAGCGCAAGGCCTGCCAGGCCCCGGGCGCAGAGGCGGGCACCCCGGGC